CGTGGACTACAGCCCACGAAAGCTTATGCTCTAATAAATTTGTTAGTCTCTAAGGTGCCACAAGTACTCCTGTTCTTCTTTTTGAGGATACAGACTAACACGGCTGTTACTCTGAAACCTTATATTATTAAATGTGCTTTGGCTGTCACACAAAAGAAAATATATTCATTTAGAATTTATGCTTTTACTGGTTCACCTTTTTTATATTTTGCTTCGTAGGTCTTTGGAGGTTATAAATCACATAGGACTCCTGGCAAAGTTATTAAGATCCGGTCCATGTGGAGGTTGCTACAGAATTAATAACGACGGTTCATCAGTTCATATGAAGTTGTATATTGAGCAGAGACATGAGCATATTTTAACTGTAAGTCCAACACACTAGCAGAGTTTATAAACTCTGCTGGTGAAATACTGTGCTTGTGGTGTTTATAAACTTCATTGGCTGAACCTTTCCTACTGGATTAAAGAAGAACTGGGTCCAGACTGGATAAGAGATTTGCATTTGTCCTTAAATAGTAGGAGAGTTTCTCCTTCACTTATGTATATTCCATGTATCTCTTCCACTCATCTTTGGCAATGACCTGTTTCTTTCAGTTAAGAGGCAGAACATTATCAGCTGCCATAATAACTTAAGAGCAGAGCATATGCATGTGTCTTTGCCGGAATGGGATCTTATTCTGTGAACTCTTCTATATATGAATCATGTCTTTCTATCTGTGGTTCTGGGTGCCACTGGAATATAAAACAAAGATGATGATGATGATGATGATAGCTATTTCAAAACAAAACTTAAAATTTTTAAGGATGTGGGAAAACAAGTAAATATTATACTGCCTGTCAAATACTCGACAGCGTTTCTTTTTTGGAACAAAAAGTGTCACCAAAATATAATAAAATCTAGCATATGCAGATGTGGGACTATGCAGTTTAGAAAGTGAATAAAATTTGCTCTTGTGTTTTTAAAACTGCACCACACTAGGCATTCACAAACATCCCCACCACGCTGAAGCTGCACCATTGTATCTGTGTGCCATCCTGTAGCCCCATTTTAAAACTTACTGCTAACTGCGTGCAACAAATTTAATTCGTAATAACTGCTTCTAATTGATCCAGCAGTCCTTTCATGTTCCCCTTCTCACCCTCTCACTTCTTATGCTCCTGCTTCTCCTCCTGTTCATTGTTCCCTGAGGGGTCAATTCTACTCCTAGTGAAAAAAGGGAGTTGAACTGAATCCTTTGTCTCCCTCTTCCATTCTTAACTTCATGCACCATTTCATGCTGCTCCTATGACTGTCAACAAAGGGCTAGATTCATACAAAGGGACTTTGGTGTTGTAATGCCTAACTCCTAGGCACCCTGCTGCCTCGTAGAATTCTCAGCACTGAGTTAGGCATCCGGGATGCCCATACAACACATGGGGAGTGCTGGGCATCTAACAAACAGATTCTCAAAAGCCAGCAAGCTGAGCAGGGAGGTGCCAAAGCTAGACAGGAGTGAAATGCAGAGGGAAGGGACAGGGTTCAAGCCACCAACCACAATGGAACTTAGGTGCCCTAACCACAGGGCTATTGGGTTTTCTGGGACACACACCCGGCCACAAAAATTACTGACCTGCTCACTCTTGGCTGGGGCCTGATCCAGTATATATACGATCCAGCAGGTGTGGTCTGAACACACCCACTGAATCAGGACCCCAGGTGAGATAGGGGAACACCTAGTTTGAGAATCCCACCAAAGACCCAGGAAACAGTTGAAAAAGGGGAACAGAAAGGAACAGCAGAGACCCAGTGAGAGTTGCCATGAGAGAGCTGCATGAGACTGAGGGAGAATTGCTGAGAGCTGTTGGGAGAGTGCTGCAGATGAAAACTATCAGGAAGAACTGACCAGAGTGGAGAAATCCTGCCAAGTAAAAGGGAAGAACTCAGAGAGGCAGGCTGAGCCCAGGAACAAGAGTATTGATTCTGGAGGGAAGTTTGAATGAGCAGGGGTAGGACTCACAGGCAAAGGGGAATGGGGATGGAACACTGCAGGGACCAGAAGATGTGAGTTGAGGGCTGTGGGAGAAGAGCAGCAAGAAGAAAGGACAGTTACCTGTTCCATAACTGGCGTTCTTCGAGATGTGTTGCTCAGGTGTATTCCGCAGTAGGTGTGTGTGCTCGCCACGTGCACCGGTGCCGGAAGTTTTTCCCTTAGCAGTACGTGTAGTGGGGGATCCCCACTGTGACCCCTGGAGTGGCGCCTCTATATCACGCCATAAAGGGGGCTGCGCACTCCCCTCACCCTCAGTTTCTTCTTGACAGACAACTCCAACAGAGGGGAAGGAGGGAGGGATGTGGAATACACCTGAGCAACACATCTCGAAGAATGCCAGTTACGGAACAGGTAACTGTCCTTTCTTCTTCGAGTGACTGCTCATATGTATTCCACAGTGGGTGACTCCAAGCTATACCTGATGGAGGTGGGTAGGAGTTTAAGGTTACCAGGGTGGAGCACCGCCCTACCAAACCCGGCGTCATCCTGCATTTGGGAGACGATCGCATAGTGCGATGAAAAGGTGTGGACAGAGGACCATGTAGCAGCCCTGCAGGTGTCCTGAATAGGGACATGACCCACATAGGCAGCCGACGAGGCCTGCACTCTCGTCGAATGAGCCTTCACTAGAAGAGGCGGGGGAACCCCTGACAGGTCGTAACACGTGCCAATGCACGAGGTGATCCAGCGGGAGATCCGCTGGGTGGAAACCGGTTGCCCCCTCATGCGCTCAGCCGATGCAATGAAAAGCTGAGGGGATTTCCGGAATGGCCCTGTCCGGTCTAGGTAAAAAGCCAGCGCTCTATGCACATCTAGCATGTGTAGGCGTCGTTCCTCATTGGAGGAATGGGGCTTGGGACAGAGAACTGGTAGGAAGATGTCCTGATCCATGTGAAAAGCCGAAAGTACCTTTGGCAGAAAGGCTGGGTGCGGGCGGAGTTGTACCTTGTCCCTATGGAAGACCGTATATAGGGGATCAGAGGTCAGGGCCCTAAGCTCCGAGACCCGGCGGGCTGAGATGATAGCCACCAGGAATGCCACTTTCCATGATAAGTGGGACCAGGAACACGTGGCCAAGGGTTCAAAGGGGGGGGGCCATGAGGCGGGAGAGCACTAGGTTCAGGTCCCAGAGTGGGACCGGGGGTCTGGTGTAAGGGAATGCTCGATCCAGACCTTTCAAAAACCGGGAAGTCATGTGGTGGGAAAATACTGACTGACCAGACACCGGAGGGTGGAAAGCCGAAATTGCCCGCTAAGTGTACCCTGACCAAGGTGGGCGCCAGTCCTTGGGTCCTAAGGGACAGGAGGTAATCGAGGATGAGCTGGAGCAATGCGGATGAGGGGAAGGAGCCCCTCTCCCTCGCCCACGTGG